TATATATATATATATATTTCATGTCATTAGCAACTTAGACTACTGTTGTAAATTTATGTTCATCGTTTCTTGCCTTTTTTCTTCACAGGGTGAAATACTGGGCTTTGAAGTTTGGGAAAAGCATTGCTACAAGTGGTGCTCGAGCGACTTGCTTGGCAAAGCTTACAGAGGTAAGTAATTTTGTTTGTTCAGAACTTTGTGTGACAATTTCCACACTTCCTTCACGTAAACTTTTAATACTCCCATGCCTTATAAAGATCACAAACGGTAATGTTCTTATTTTAATGTATATTGTTCTTAATAGAGCTGCAACTGATGTACTCAGAAATTAAACTTGAATTGTCCAGCTGAGTTCAGGTACAGAAGACGAATGACTATTAATTGCAGTTGCACAAAATGAAGCATTTGCACTGTTAGATTAATATCATTTTCACCTTGACCTCGTAAAATACAGCTTATGTTGACGATTTACAACTAATATTACCATAAAACCAAAATGGCCAATGACATTATCGTTTAAAACTTTTTTTTTATCAAAATAAAAACAGCTAACTCATTTGGAGTTATTTTACTGTTTCACACCTTACCGTACAACGTGTCTGATATTTTAGTAAATATTTTGACTATCTTTGGAAAGCATTAAAACTAAAATACGATAGTTTTGTTTTTTTTTTGTTCTGTGACCCCAAACGCTTATTCTGTGATCTGAACTCTTGAAATGTGACTTTGATTTTTTTTCTATGACCTCAAATACTTACTGCAGTTGCATTCATACTTTGTGGGAATTTTCTTGTTTTGTGTTTTTTGATTGTTGAAAGAGTTTTGTTGGCATTAAAACGATCCGCCATTTTAAAGTCGTTTACACTTCGTGGAGATTAAAGCACATCAGTGTACATGACCAATTTTAAGTTCACCTTCCTGCAGAGTTTGACTATTATATTATGAATCTTGAATTCTCTTATGTATTTAATGATTAGATGATTGAAAACAATTCTTAATAGAAATATATTTATTATTGAAAAATCAAAATATATTTAGTTGCTTTTTAACATAATTAAGCTTCTCCCAGCCGTCTGGATCATTCATGTTTATTAGTTGCTAGATGCCAGAGGATTCTTACTCTCTCTCTATGACCCCACCCAAGTAAAAATAGAAATTGTTATAAAACTGCCCTTGTTGAAATGTCTCAAAGTAAAAGTATAAAACTGTGACAAAATTGTCCTTGTGGAAACCCCCAAAGCAAAAGTATAACGTTCTTACAAAATTCTAAAATGTTTAAAACCATCCGCGTCTAAATGTTCATATCGTAAATAAAAATAGCATTCAGTTTGTAACCAAAATCATTTCAATTTTTATTAGAAGAATGTTAGAAGCAGTGATTAAGATAATTTTTCCCCATTAGAACATCTAGGAGGAATGTTATATAGAGTTAAATGCAAGTGTGGAGTTCTACAACCTCAAAAAAAAGGGGGGGGGGAATCCATGTCACTTCTAACAGAAATATTCTATGACTTTCCTTCTTTTATTTTTATTCTAAAACTATTAAAGGGAAAAAAAGTGGCTTAGATAAACCCCATTTGGCTTAGCTCTACTCGTTCATCATCAAAATGATGACAATCAAATAAGGTTGTTATTTTTTAATGTTTATAGGCAACGTCAGTATTTCGAATCAGCACAATTTTATCTTTTACAAATTGGTCAGGTGTGGCCATGTCGTTAGCGTGTTCAGACTGTGAATCCGAGTGTTCACGGCTCACGACTCGATGATAAAAAAAAAAAAAAAA